GTTACTTGAGTATGCTGATAAACTCACTGCAGGGTCTCACACACTAGGAGAACAGAAGGCAGAGCCAAGCGCTAGATGCAAGTCAAAGTTCTGAACAGCTTCATGAGGGATGAAATGAAGCCTCTGCAAAGGAAAATTCTTAAAAAACCCACATGCCCCCCAACTCGTGTCTACATAAAAGGCCAATCGTGTGGACATTAGCTAACACTGGATGAGATGGTCATAAGCATTTAAGTAACATGCAAACTTTGGAAATGTAGACAGTATTTTATTGCTCTAAGTTTACAGACCCCTGGACTTTCTGGAAACAGTGTAGGTGCAGTTACCTGTTTTTCTGATTATCTCCCACCTGTCCTAAGAGGTATTTATTCCTTATTTAGAGGCCCTCTATTGCCATGTGCCTGGCATTATTAAATGCTCATCAATTTATGAAGAATAAAATTTGTCTTTCCTGCCTTAAGAGTTAAATTCCTTCTTCCGCTCAATTCCTGATCTTGTCCATTAAAGAGTGTTCGCAAAGTTTCTGAAAGATTAGAGAAGAATCCCCCCAAGATTGCCCAACACTAACCACAAAACAAACAGTACTTTATTTAAATAAGACAACTGCTTCCTAAAAGAATACATTCTCTATTAAAAATGTTTTATTTTGAATGATTTAATGGTTTTCTGCACAACATACAACAACACAACTTTTAAATTTTAGCAAGATTAACATCTGATTAACAGCACATTCTTATCCTATCTTATCCTCGGGTTTTTCAATTCAGTGCTAAACAAAAATTTCAGTTTTATTATTAAGTACTGATCTGGAGAGGCTTGAAGAATTAACTTGCCTCTGAGTGAGGTGCTATCCCATCATGGAAGCCCACAGGTAAAGTCCTGTCTAATCTTAAAAAGGCTGAATGGGAACTTCCTCACAATCCTGGAATCCTTGGGAAGGGACCAGGAAGGAGGCCACGTTCAATACTTAAGACCTCCACAGCTCGTAATAAGAATAAGCACTTAGCCCTAACATGCAAAACTGCAGATGCAATTAAACTTATCTGTAACAGTTGCCTGCTGTTTTCTGCTCCCAGATGAAATGAAGCAACTCTTCTGATAACGAAGAGAACCTGTCTGAGGCAAACGAAAGATTGGCAAACAGCACAGCCTCCTCTCCTCTGAATCCACTTGATCCCAACTCCTCTGAATTATTTCAGCTTCTTTTATTCCGGGATTAATGTAGTATTATCATTTTCATTTCATTTCATTTACATTCTGCTTTTGTAAAAGCAGTATTTTGAGATGGACATATGATCTTCATTGTATTTCTCAATTCATTATTTAATTTCTCATCGATTCATTTTTTTGTGGGTATAGCTTGATAAGCCGTAACTTTAAAATGGTAGATTCCATTAACTTTAAATTGGTAGCTTTCATTTGCTTTTTTGGCATATGCAGACAACGTTTTCATCAGTAGTTAGGATCTCAGGGTTATGCTTTTTCCCCAATGAAGGTATGAAATATAATCTTTTCTGCTTTTACTTATCATTCACCAAGGAGTTGTTCCCTCTCCATCTAGGCCATCATTATTGCCAGGCTGGTTATGACTCAGAAGATGTTATCTGAAAAAAGTCTACAGAAAAAAAGATTTCCCCTCCCTCGTCAACAAAGCCCACCCTTCCTTTTATCAGTTATGATTTACAAACTTAGGATGCAAACATAAAATATACAATTGACAATAATTTTAAAGCATACCTTAACATCTTGTTTTGCAGTCAAAGGAAAAATGTTTTCCCTACACTAAAAAAACACACACACTTGCTCATGTACAATTAAAAATAAAATCTTACTTGATAACACAAAAGCTACCATCAGAAGAAATCCCTTCAGGATCATTAAGCCACTTCCTCTGCTCTGAAGCTCCTATAGTATTAACTTTTATTAAACCACCTGAAAAAAATTCCAAAAGAGAACCAACACACTACCATATCCAAACTTTAGTGTTCAAAAATTCCCAAGGCATTCTCTTTGTCAGCCCAGTGGGCTAGACCAACCCCGTCCAACACTTTCCTTCCCCAGGCCCTGCATTTTGAATCCAGTGGATCTTCATGAAACTTCCCAGCTGCTCAATTCAAAAATTGAGGGCAAACAAAAACTTGAAGATTGGGAGTTACTTGCCAACATGGAAGTTGAGATTCCTTAGTTTTTTCATCCTAAGTACTTAAGTTCTCTGGCATGAGTATATCTGAAATCATAAACTAAACAATTACCTAAACCCAACCCCCCCAACCCCAACCATAACAAGCTACTGCCAAAGGCTGCCAAAATTTGCCCCGCCCCTTTTAATAAAAGGTTATTTTAAAAGTCATATTATTTGAAAACTTAACTTTAACATTTGGCCTAGCCAAGATCTTCTTAAGTTCTCCTGAGATGACTGAATGTGAACCAAAGCTGCACTGTGCTGTACCTTTCAGCTTCAACTGGGAATACTCTTCCAAGAGAAGAAGCAGCTCCAATCCCTAACGGCGGTGTTGCCAACAGCATATCGGCACAATCCTTCTCTAACCCAGTTTGTCAATAGCACTATAGCATCTGTGGAAAATCTTAGAAAAAAACATTTTGCTCCCCCCACCCTTTTCCCTGTTAAGAACACCCCAAAATATTTCAAATAAACTTTTAAGGATTACATACTTTTAAAACCTGATTATGGGGTGGAAAAAAAGAATAACTACCAGCCATTTCTCCAATGCACAGCGCTCCTCCACAGACCTCAAAGTGAGAACTGCTCGTGCTCTAATTTCTAGAAACTGTAAACCTGTGATGTTCTGATTATCCTGATACTGGATTTTCTTTTTTTCTGTTACCTTGAGTCATTTGCCTTTGAGATTCTAGACAGACCTAAGGGGAAAAGAACTCAAGACATTTTGCCCCCCCCCCAAAACTTCCCCCCATACACGCCCAAACTTGACATTCACAAAACTCAAATGTTTCATTACCCCAAGCTAAAAAAAAAAAAACAGCCGCTTAAAAAACTTGCCTTAATTTTGTCTCAATTCATGTTTCCCTCAAATTGGTTAAAAGACAAAAACCATAAAACTTGCCATCTACCATTCCTCCGGGCCTTGGAAGTCTGCCCTCAAAAGCTTCAGACAAGATGCATGAGAAAATAAGCCTGAAAAAGAGAAACCTACAACACCCGGAAATCGGCCTACATTCCATAAGAAAGCCCTTGCCGCTTAAGACAGCGCCCCCATTACCATTAGTGAAGTAAAGGTTACCATACTCGTTACCAAAACCAGGGCGCGGCCGGCTCCCGGACTTGACCACCACTGGCTGCCCCGCGGCCTCGCGCCGGCGCCCGCTGCTCTAGGCTCCTCTATCTATCCTGCAACCGCCTGCTCGCCGCCTCCGCCTGGTCGCCTGGTCGCCCGGTCGCACGCTGGCGTCAGCACGCCGCACGGGCTCCGCCTCCTTCCCCGGAAGCCTCTCCTAGCTTCACCGCCAAGCGCTCCTTCTTGCTAGCTGCCTCCACACGCACCGCTCCCGGCTCCTCGCCTACTCGCCAACCGCCGCTGCCGCTCAGTCCTAGCTTCACCGCACCGGCTCCCGGCATCCTGTCTGCCGCTCCTGTCGTCCTAGCGTCACTGAATCCACTTCTGCGTGGCACCTGGTCAGCTGACAATTAACGCTAAGTCCTCAGGTTTTACTTCATCTGAGCTCAGTCCAAAGCAAAAGCCTTAGGTTGGTGATTATTCTTGATCTCCAATTACTTCAGTTATGAAAGTCCTTTAAATTTTCCAAAGAGAACTAAGCTAATGTATTTAGGCCTTTCAAGATTTTGTAAGTCTTCCAAAAAACATCCTACCCTTAGTTTTAAAATTACTTCAGTCCTTTTAGTGGGTTTTTGCTATTTTTTTTTTAGCTGATTTCCCTTCTAGCTTCTTCCGGATATTCTTCTAAATTAGGCCTGTTCTACAGCAATTTAAACATCCTCGTCTTCTCAAAGCTAACTTCTGCACCACCAGAAATTAAACTTACGGGCTTTTATAATAAATTCTTATTAAATTATTAAAAATTTAATTTCCTCCTTTTGTTCCTGTACTATCTTCTAGCTGAAATACTTTTCTTGACGACCTTCTATCTTCTACTAAACTTGTATCTTCTCGTTTTCTATCTTCTCCTTTTCTACTAAACTTGTGTCTTCTCATTTTCTATCTTCTAGTTTTCTACTTAGTCTGTATCTTCTCATTTTCTATCTTCTATTTTTCTACTTAATCTGTATCTCATTTTCTATCTTCTATTTTTCTATTAAACTTGTATCTTCTCATTTTCTATCTTCTATTTTTCTACTTAGTCTGTATCTTCTCATTTTCTATCTTCTATTTTTCTACTTAATCTGTATCTCATTTTCTATCTTCTATTTTTCTACTGAACTTGTATCTTCTCATTTTCTATCTTCTAGTTTTCTACTTTTCTGTATCTTCTCATTTTCTATCTTCTATTTTTCTACTTAATCTGTATCTCATTTTCTATCTTCTATTTTTCTACTAAACTTGTATCTTCTCATTTTCTATCTTCTAGTTTTCTACTTTTCTGTATCTTCTCATTTTCTATCTTCTATTTTTCTACTTAATCTGTATCTCATTTTCTATCTTCTATTTTTCTACTAAACTTGTATCTTCTCATTTTCTATCTTCTAGTTTTCTACTTTTCTGTATCTTCTCATTTTCTATCTTCTATTTTTCTACTTAATCTGTATCTCATTTTCTATCTTCTATTTTTCTACTAAACTTGTATCTTCTCATTTTCTATCTTCTAGTTTTCTACTTTTCTGTATCTTCTCATTTTCTATCTTCTATTTTTCTACTTAATCTGTATCTCATTTTCTATCTTCTATTTTTCTACTAAACTTGTATCTTCTCATTTTCTATCTTCTATTTTTCTACTTTTCTGTATCTTCTGATTTTCTATCTTCTATTTTTCTACTTAATCTGTATCTTTTTCTATCTTCTATTTTCTACTAAATTTGTATCTTCATTTTCTATTTTCTACTTTTCTATTAAATCTGTATCTTCTCGTTTTCTATCTTCTGGTTTTCTACTACATTTGTATCTGTGCCCTTAGTTGCTTTGGTTAATTTACCTAAATATTTTCTCTTCGGCTTTCTAAAATGCATGTTGTATCTTCTATTTTCCTGTCTTCTCTAAGTCTTTTTCTTCACCTTCCTGTACACTTCTGTCTTCCAAGTGTTCCACTTCAAATTTCTAATCTTTCTCCAAAATTTTATCCTATGATTTCTAAATTAACAATTGCCCATCTTAAGCTAATAATGCCGTAAGAGCAACTGGGCTTCAAATGACACAATCTTTACTGCGCCATGAATTTGAAGGCCTCTCTTAAATCAATTTTTCTCTTTTAAATACGGCATTTAATATATAGTTTAACCACCTCCAACTTTCTTTAAATGACAATTACGTTCTATTTATGTCACCTACGGTTTAATGGCATTTTTAAAGTTTGCCCTTCAATTTAGTTAAGGCGTTTTTGAGTTCAGACTTTGCAGTCCTATCAGCCATTTCTTTGAAAATTATTTTACTTCGTAAAGAAGTTTCATCTCTTAATCTCCGTCATGTTCTGGAAGTACTTTTCTTCTCTCTTCCTTTCTGAAACTACTTTTTAAGTAAGTCTTCATCATATTTTCCCTTAAATAAGATCTTTGTTACAAAAGTTAAAATATTAATGCTAAGCAGTATCTCAGTAAGTACCTCCCTTCGCTATTTACATTTCCTAAAGAATATTATTTTCTATCTCTTTTTAATAGAAAAACTTATCTGGTTTCCTCAAGTAGTGCCTCGGTCTCAGCAGTCATCTCTGCGCTCGCTGCCTGAATGCCTGCTGCAGAGCCGGGAGAGGCGTATTTATGGGCGAAGGACAACTCACGCTGTTGGCATTCAATAACCCTCCGCAGCCTTTGTGAGGGAAGCAAAAGTAGTTCCTAGGAAAGGTTAAAAATAGAACCTGTTTTACAAGCTTTTCTGGTTTTTTCTAACCGTTTATGCAAAATAATTGCAAACCATATACCCAGAAATATTTAAGACTCATTAGCAAGTAGATTTGAGCTGAAAATTTAGGCAAAAATCCATGGAAATCACATTTGAGTCCACCATCAAACAGCTCACAAAACCTCAGAGCCATTGCTGGGGAATCTTTTAGCAGCTTTGAAAATACCTTTCCTCGAAGTTCAGTAGGTACCAGTTAGTGCTTTTTGGAGGCAGGTTAATACGGGTTTGCTAAAGGCCTTAATTTTCATTATGTAACAGAGACCGCAGCCATTTTGGCTGTGGCAAAGTGGTGAGGTCCCCCCCACACACACACACACAAACTGCTCACGTCCTGTGAGTGGATTCTGGGGTTACACCACGTTTTGATTACCCGTTTATTTGAGAAATCCAGTGGTCTGGATTATCTGCTTAATTCTACTGTGAGAATCCACTAACAGAACGTGTCTTAGGTAGACACAATCCACTGTTGTCTCCGCAACGGAGTCGGCCCGTCTCAGAAGCCGCCTACAGCCTGCGGCAGCCCTGCGGCTCGGCTCGCTGTGGTTTTACTTGCTGAACGCCCTGCGGTTTCTGCCATTCCTGCCGGCTAGACCCTATGCTTCTGGGTGCCCGCTGAGCCTTTCATCAAGCCTGGTTTCTGTGTTCCTAGGCTTTTCTCGCATTATCAACACCCAAACCCGCTGGCCAAGCTGGGGGACGCGCCCTCAGTAAAGTGCCCGAACCGCGAGGGTTTTGCCTCCGGAGACAGCGACCTGGGGCGGCCGGGCAGGCGGGCCTGTCAGAGCTCAGGGGTCGCTTTTCTGGCCCGTGTTGTACAGACGCTACCCTTTCCGGTTTGGCTGCCTTCTAACACCTTCGGGCTTGGAGCTGTGAGGAAAGCACTCACTCACACAAAGCCTTTTCTCCCTCAGTCTGGTTTTCTCTTGGCCGCCCCCTCAGTCTCTCCCCACAGGGAAAGCGGGGTTAGGCTCCCGACATGGAACCTGCAAACCCGGGGCCCAGGCAGCAACGAGCCCGGCCTCCCCAACGAGGCCTGAGGGAGTGGGAACAACGGCACCGGAGGCTCCCCGCAGTTTCCACGCAGCCAACGGGGCTGCACAGAGAAGGCAAAACCAGGGTGAAGGGGGGGGCCCCGCTCCCCGTAGTTCAGGCTCCCCACCCTGCGGCGGCCCGGCGCGGCCCGGGACCAGGCTGGGGGAGGGGCGCGGCACCCACCCACGCCGCCCGGCGCAGGGATACGCGGGCAGTGAGCCGCCGCCTGCCTTTGTGAGGTGTTGGCTTCCGGGCGGGCGTCACCGGTTCCAGCCGGTTCCAGCCGGTTCCAGCCGCCTCCGGGAGCCGGCGGTTGGCGCAGCGCGCCACTGCGCAGGCGCGCCCCGGGAAGCGGCGTTGGGGGAGGGGCGCGGCTCCGGCCGGCTTCCTGGCCGCCCCTCCCCCCTCCCCTGCACGCGGGCTGCTCTCCCCTCCCCCGCCGTCCGCTCTCAGCCCAGGCCTGCTTTTCCTTCCTTTGTCAGAGCCATCCACAGATTTAATGTCTATAAAGCGCCAGGTCAGGCAGGACGTTCCAAGAGGGGAAGATGGAGGTTAGTGCCCGATACAGGTTAGAATGGCAGCTCGCGGAGGAGCTGTGTATTAAAGCCCTTCGGCTCCTGTCTGACTGACGGCGGCTGTGGAGGTGGGCGCCGCCTGGGGCTGGCAGTGGGGGCGCTGCCTCCGGGGACCCCGCCCGCACCCAGTCAAGCGGGGCCGGGTCTAACCTTCCTCAGCTTCTCCCCTTCCCTTCAGGGGGTGCCACTGAGATGCGGGCGGATGTCTGCGCTGGGGCCGGAAGGAGGAAAACGGTCACCCCATTTTACCAATGGGGATGCGGCAGCCCGGGGAGTTCGTGATTTCCCTAAAACCAGACACAGCTACTTAGTACCGGAACCTATTCTCGAATCCCAGAACTTGGACTTCATGGCGCCGCTGTCAGCCCGGGAGGGCGCGGGCCCCTCGGGATCGGCGGTCTGGTCCCACCCTGGAGCCAGGAGGTGAATGTCAGGAGCCCGAAAGAGCTTCAAATAATTGTCAGACTGTCCCTACACTAGTCCCCTCCCCTTTACAGACTATAGCGTTTTTCTTATATTGTGAAAATGCTGTATATTATTTGATTAATTCTCCTGGGGTTTGGGAAAAGGAACAGAGGATTTGAATGCAGCTCAGCACTGCGCTAAGAGATGGCTTGCCAGGGCCAGAGAGAAAATTCTAATTTTTCTGGTTGGTAAATGAAAACATCTGAGAGATGATTATGGACACTAACTCCTGTTTTTACTGTTCGGGCTCAAACACTGATTGCCTTCATCTCTCCTAGCTTTTGCTTCACAAAAGTCTCTGAAATATTCTGATTCCCACCCTCCTCTCCTTTATATAGTGATTTAAACAAGATGGTAAAATCACCATGTTCTTTGATGAGATTAATATGTGCCTTCCCTCAACTCTGATCTAAGAAGATCTTTAGCATAAAACTGCATTTCTCAAGGCTTTTCCCCCTTGCCTGCACCCGTGTCCCTGTTAACTTCAGTGTCGGGTTGATGGCCGCTGCTCTCCCCGCTGGTACTTCATGTCCTCCTCAGCCTGAAAACCTGGTCTTCATTGGAGCCTGAAGATACAAATTTAGAGGGCAAATCCATTTTGGCTGGCGTCTCCTGTTCCCTGCCCCCACCCCCAAAAGCCGAGGCTAAAAATAGGAGGTCCTTGGATTCTGGCAGTCACCCCAGGGAGGAAGGCCAGTGTGACCTTGGGCACTAGCCCAAATACCTTCTCAGCAATTTTCTTAGGTGTAGAACGAGGAGGTTAGATGACGGAAGTGATGATGCTGATTCTATAAAATGCGGTAAACAAAGCGATGGGAGGAGAACATGGGGGACTTCAGATCCTGGTTTTGGCTTCAAGGCGGTAGGGCCCTGAAAAGGGCTAAAGTAGCAAGATTTTAGAATGAGGGCTCCAGGGCCTCCTGTCAGCAAGGCCCTACCTCATCCCCCAGACTCACCCCAAGGCCAGAAACCTCCAGAAAATGCCCGATCCTTCCCTCTTCAGTCAGGCTTACTCCAGAGAGAAGCTTCTGAGGCCCTTCGTATTTGGGTCTGGGGTCCAGAGGCCAGAGGGGTGAGGCTGCAGCTACACCTGGATCCCCTCCAGGCCTCTTGTTTGCTTTTAATCTCATCCTTGTGGGGTTTTTTTCTGATCCTGCTTTACCAGAGACTGTTCTAGAAATGCATGTCTCAAAAGGCAATGGGTGTCCCAAAGAAACAACTTGCTTGTTTTCTGAAGACTAGGAATTCGGCGTTCCCAGCCCCCTCCTGCCGCCCACCTTCCAGAGCTGATCTCTGGAACAATGACCACAAAACGTTCAGCTCCTCCTCTGCAGAGCAGCCAGATCCGGCGGCAGGAAAAAACCCAGGGATGACTCAGCTCACAGCTCCATTATGCGGAAGAGAGATCAACAGCAATTAGAAGTGGCTAAAGGAGAAACATCCTTAATCCCAAATAATTTATAGTCCAGTGAGCTAGATATGTAAGCCAATCACAGTGCAATGTGATCATTGTATGTGTGATATCTACAACAAAGATATATACAAAGTGCTATGGAAAACAGGTCTGGGGTGGGAGGGATGGAGGGCAGTATAATCCTCTGAGTGCTGCGTAGGAAGTAGAGGGTGAGGGGGACTAACCACTACACAGAAGCACTGGGAGATGATATAGAAAGTAAGAAGTTACCTTTTGTCGGCCGAGGAATACCTGACCTCAAGAATATATCGTTCACAATGACCTGGAAGTTTCGTCTTTTAATAACAAAAAAGTTAAAGAGATTCCATTTTACTTACCCATGTCAGGAGTCAACAGTTCACTGCCTCACTGGCTGAAACACTGACACACGCTAGGGCCTGTTGGGCTGGGAAGAGTCCAGAAATAATTCTTGACGTTGTTTCTTGTTCTACCCCAGGGGATAAAAGTTAAGGATTCCTAAATATGATCGAAATGTACAGTGTTAGAAATTCCACCCTTAAAAATAACCTTTAACCATGAACACAAACACTGATGTGTGAAAATAGTCATTCTAAAAGCTGAATCTGGAAAGAAGAAAAAATCAAATGTACCCTCCAGCAAAATAAATCACATGAAACAGAAAAAGAAGGAGGGGGGCTAGAAGTGGCTGTAACCCTGGTCTTCCCCCAAAATGCTGCCAGGAAGAGGCAGCCCTGGCCTCTCCCACACAGACACCGGGCAGCACTAGGTAGAAGAATAAGGGAAACATTTTCCTCTTATCTTCCTGAGAAAAGCATCCATCTTCTAAATGCACCTCCCCTAAGACTCAGAAGAAGGGTTCTGTGTGACAGGATCCACTTCTGGGGAGGGGACAACGGTATCTTGCAAGAGCAGTTCCCCACCCACAGCCCCAGAGCTCCAGGCTGCTAGTTCCCTTCTTTCGTTTATTCCCCACAGAAAGTGTCTGGCGCTGGCCCTGCAGCCTGCTCTGTGGATCTTTCTAGAAGGCCTGGGTGTGGCAGTGCAGCTGTAGCACCGTGAGCTGTGGGAGGAGAGTGGCAGCAGTGGCCAGAGCATGGCTCTCCGAGGAGCAGCTTTAGCCCCATCACAGTAGAGACTTTTGCTGACCTCCTCCCCCGAGTAGAGAACAGAGTGCACGGGCTTTCCTCGGCCCCTCCGTTGCCCTGGTGTGTCTGCAGGACCGTAAACCAGCATACAGCTTTCTGTTCTGTGACATGTAAAGAGCGCTGTGCATGATCTCTTCTCAGTCCTCCCAACCCCCTGTGAGGGGACGCTGCTGTTACCCTGCAGCGGTTCTCAACCTTCCTGATGCCGCGACCCTTTCACACAGCTCCTCATGTTGTGGGGACCCCAACCATAAAATTATTTTCGTTGCTACTTCATCACTGTCATTTTGCTACTGTTATGAATCGTCATGTAAATATCTGATCTGCTATATGTGTTTTCCGATGGTCGCGACCCACAGGTTGAGAACCGCTGCCTTAGAGGGATGAGGAACCGGAGGCCTAGGAGGTCTGTCTTGGTATCACTAGTGCTGGGCGCACAGTCTTGAGATTAAACACCCAAGAAGAACAGTGAAGAGAGCCTGGTGATTGATGTCAGTAGGTGCAGCGTGACGGAGCGACCCAAAAGCCAGCGCAGAAGGGGCTGTGAGGGAACCAGGGTCCCCCCTCCTGGGATGTCCTAGAGACACTTGTCTCGGTAAGCCCAGTGGTAAGGGAGGTTTCAGCAGGTTGTTGTGGTGTTTAAGTCCTGGAGAATGGTGCTGAGTATTGCTCGTAAGGAAGAAGGAAGTGATGAGGCACAATTTGAGGTGACTCTACAGGAACAAGGTGAGTTAGATTTGATATGAACGCACTGCCCATCAGGATGGCGTGACTGCGTGGAGCTGGTACTGAGTAAGAAAGGGGGAACTGCTCCTCTCTGAAGAACTTCTAGACAGACTGTGATCCGCGAAGGCAGGAGAGAAGACCCGAAGGCCGCCTCAGGGCTCCATGGAGCTCCAGTTGGGCATTCACCCCGAGGGGAGGGGAGCGAGGGGAAGGCTGGGCCTTGCTGTCATTCCGCTGTGTGACTCACGGAGGGGAGGCAGTGTCCAGCCCTCACTTGTGCTGGGGCCTCTAGTTACTCACCCTCTGAGGCCTGCTGAGTGGACCTTCAGAAATAACCTGAAGGAATAGGGAGGCTCCCCAGTGAATCATGTTGACCTTCTTGTATCCCCACCTGTGATCTGTTCAATCACCCCCTTTGAGGTCCTGGCAGATGTTTGTGTCAGCATCACATACGCGTTGCACACACAGCAGGAAGCTCATTAAACATTTCACATCTTCCGTATGTGTTCATTCTTTCTCAACACAACTGTGGCCCACATCCCCACAGAAACAAGTCCTGTAGAACAAGGGGGCAGAGGTCACCCAGTTCCAGGAACTTTGCCAGTGGTGTATTTCTCAACATATGCCAGGTAAAAACAGAAGCCCATAGCATTATGGGTCCTTCCTGGGGCTAAGGTCACAGTAGACCTGTACAGTGGCTGAGGTGGAATGGACCTTAAAGCTCATCACGTGCTGGGAACCCACTAGAGAGTAGGGGACGCAGGAAGGGAAGACTAAAGTGAGGTCTGCCAGGGCCTGAATTACCTGGAGAGGGGCTTGAACTGGACTCTTTGGGCAGAGGATGACTCCTGAGCTGGGAGGGGGCCTGGCTTTGGGAAATGCCGTGTCTGCTCTTTGCAAGGTGGCTGAGGGGGGGAAGGTGGGAGAGGGGAGGGCACTGGTGTGTCCATTCTTGCAGCCCAGGCAGGCCAGAGGTCATGGAGGCCTGGATTGGGGTGGGTAGTGGCCATGGGACAAGGGACAGAACACAGGTATAGAAAACCTGCCTGAGGCTCTCTGAGCTTCCCACACTGGCCTCTGTGGCACCCCTGGCGTTTCCAGAATCATGTTCTTTACTCTTGATGACACATCTGCTTGGAATATACCCCCTACTCTTCAGATGAGACTCGTTCTCTCAGCCTAGACTGCACTCCCCTCCAAGGGCCTCTCGGACCAGCATATCCGGTCCCCTGGCATCATCACCCCTTAGTTATCTCACCTCTGTCTCAGCACAGCCTCTATTTTCCTGGACGATGCTGTGTTGTTAACATGTCTCCTGGCTCCTCTGAAGGCCAGTGGGAATGTGGGGTTTGCAGCCAGGTTGGTGGGAGGATGAGGTGCCACTGCTGGAGCCTGAAAGTGGACAGAGAAACCTCAGGCTCACTCATGCCCAGAGATGAGAGAGGTGACCTATATCAACCTCATTGAGGGCGATCCCCCCCCCTCCCTCCAGCTGTGGACAAGGATGCAGACACCATAGCCATGTCATTTTGTCTTGTTTGGTAACCTCACTTTATTGCCCTAAGGCCAGGGCTCCATCTGGCCCCCACCCCAGCTGTTGCTGTGGTGGGAGAACCTAACTGGAGGTGGGCAGAGCTGAGATCCTGGGCAAGGAGAGGTGGGGGTGGGGAGGGGGAGAGCTCCTGGTGTCTTCCCAGCTCCCCTCTCACACAAAGTCACTTCTTCCACTTGGGAGCTGTGGGAAATAAATATACAAAATGCTCCCCCCAAGAGAACTGAGCAGACGTGGTGCACTCCCCGTTTAGGTGCCTCTGGGCTAGTTCTGGGCCCGAGGCCTTGTGCTCTGGGAGGCACAGGCACAGGAACTGGCCTGGCTTCAGAATCCTGACAACATGGTGGGAGCTGCCCTTCCTCCCTTTGCCTTCCTGGGAGCAGGAATCCTGGGGCCTGTCAGTTGGGGTGACAATTCCAGTTTCCAGATGGCACAGTGCCTGAGTGCCTGAAGCTCTGACCACCTCTGTGGCTGTCACGGTCCCTGGGGGAGCCCTCGCCTCTCCAGCCTGCTGCGGCCCACACAAGCAAAAGAACTTTGGACTCATCAGGGCCTGGGAGGAAGGTGGAGCTGAGAACAGCGCTGGGGAAAGAACCTGGGTGGAAATTTCCATGGCTGTTCTGCTTCAGCAAAGACTTCAGCTGAGACCTTCTGGCCTAGACAGAGACCAGTGGGCTACAGACCATCGAAGTCACACTGAGTGACCCTTCCGCATTGTCCCAGATGCTTTTCACTTGCTGTCCCACCCTGAGCCAGGGCCATAAAGCTCAACCAGTCCTGTCCCTCTGTCCCCTCTTTCTAGCCCTGCTTGCTGTCAGATCCCTAGTTCACAGGATATGGGGAACTGGTTCCTGAGCCTACCCGTCACGAACCAGGTCAGAGCCCTTTCCTCCAGCAGGAGGCTGCTCAACGGCCAGTCCTTCCTGCAGACGCCTGTGGCCTTTGTGGTCCAGTGACCTCAACAGCACTGCTGTGACCACACCCTTCACTCAGTGACTCATCTGTTGTGACCTTAAGCTATGGCATATGACTTCTGTTCTTTGTTATTGTCATTTAGCATCCTTGAAAACAGAGTTGGGGTCTTCCTGCTGCCCCGCCTCAGGTCAGAGTAGCGCTGCACATGCTTACCCAGCCCGGGGAATTGCTCCTGGCCTCACCCCCGGTTCCAGCTGCTGGTTCTTGGCTCTGCCAGCAGCCATGTCTGTAGGCCTGACTCCCTCCCTGCCCAGCACAGCCAGTTCTACAGGATGAAACAAGGACTGGGCCGGTCTGGCCTTACCCACCAGCCCTCAGCTCCATATCCTTCCCCTCAGCCTCAAAGTCACCCTCCTTGTTTGGTGAAGCCTCCCTTCAGCTCCCCTGAAAACCATGGCTCTCGCCCCCCTCTGCACCCCTCCCCCACCTCATCTGGTCCTGTTCACCGCAAGCATTAGAGCCATCAAGGAGAGAATGGCCTGGGAGTGCCGCACCCGCCTCCAAGCCTGCTGCCTCAACATGCTCTGTGACACAGGCAAGTTCCCTGACCTCTCTGAACCACGCTTACTCCTCAGTGAAATAGGAATGTTCTATGCCCCACCCTCCTGTCAGGGGTGTGAGGCTACCAGGCGCTTGGTACAGTGCGGGGCTCAGATTTGCGCTATAAATGCCGTCACTACCAACATGGACTGCCTTCCTCCCCCTCCAGTACCACGCACGGTGCAGACAGAGCATGCTCCCGCTCCCTGGGGCCAGGCACCGCTAGGAAAGGGTTAAGCACCGGCCCTGACTTCATCCTGGGCCCCTCAAGCAGGAAGGAGGCGGAGAAGGTAACAAAATCAGGCTGAAGGCTGGGTGGAATTTTCCAGTCCTCATAAACAGGACCAGCCTGAGTTGCTAAGGGAGGTCACCATGGAAACGGTCACGTGTGCCGGCCTCCTTGTTCTTCCAACCTGGCTTGAGGCCGATGACTCCAGCTCCAGGCCTCTCATTGGCTGCCGCCGTCCTCTGGCCACTGACACCCAGCAGGAGATTGGCCGCTGGCAGTGGCTGGGCTCGCGTTAGGCCTTCCCCTCCCCCACCAGGAGCCTGCTGGAAGCCGGAGGAAGACAGATAGGCTGCCGAAGATGTTGCCATAGCAACCGCCTGCCTTTCTGCCCTACTTGGAGTTAATAGTTAACTTCTTTGTAGTTGAAGGACTTTTCCAAAGGCAGAGAGGGCGTCGGCCATTTTACAGGAACCTGACTTCCCCCTTTTGAAGAGGACAGCCCTCACCTTCCAGAGGAGTCAAGGCATTTCTGAGCCTCCACTTATCAGGCCTGGGTACCAGCCCACCCTGGGGGCCTTGGTTTCCTTCTGTGAAATGAAATACAGGGTGGGGCAAAAGTAGATTTACAGTCGTTCATCTGGAAAGTAATACAATAATTAATAAAAAATAATACAAGAATAAACTCCGGTCCTGCTGGCATGGCTCAGTGGTTGAGCGTCAACCGATGAACCAGGAGGTCACGGTTCGATTCCTGGTCATGGCACATGCCCAGGTTGTGGCCTCCATCCCCAGGGGGTCCTGCAAGAGGCAGCGGATCAATGATTCTCATTATTAATGTTTTCCCCTCTCCCTTCCTCTCTGAAATAAATAAAAAATATATTTTTTGAAAAGGATAAACTCTGGGTTTCGTGTATTTACAACTGTAAACCTACTGTTAGGTCTGATCAAATAATGAGTCAATTGAGTGCATCCCCCTCCCCTGCGCACCGACCTTTAGCCACTTCACAACAGTCCCTTTTTGCTTCGACCACATTCCAGCTGCTAAGACCATTATCCTTCCCCTCAGGACCCGCCCAAGAGAATTCTCTGCCCCGAAGAAGCCCACCTGGAGTCCTTTAAAACCTCTGACTCCCCAGTCCCTGGATGCTGGCGCCATTTGGGGGCTCAGCCCATCTGGTCTCCAGATGACCTAATAAACTCATAATTCTTTACCCCTTTTGGCCGAGTGTGTTCTTCCTTCAGCGACCCTAACACCTACTTTGCCCCACCCTGTATTCATTCCAGGATTCACTATCTACAGCTGGAGTAAGGCTCCCACTGGACCAAGTTTGCAAAAGATCGTTGTAAACTGTAAAGCTCTGTGCACTCGCCATGTGTCTTTAATTGACTGGCATTGACATTAGCCTAGGGCTCTATGAGGTGGACCTGACCCCCTCCCCCACCCCAGAGGGAAGCCCAGAAAGGGGTGTCTGTGTGTGTGTGTGTGTGTGTGTGTGTGTGTTGGGGGGGGGGGGGCTTTGAAGTTTACTTCCTCTTCTGCCACCAACTGCTTCCTGGGACCCTCAGCAGTTCACATAGCCCCCAGGGACTCATTTTCTCTTTCTGTAAAAGGATTTCCTGTAGATGATCTCAGGAGGCCCATTCCCGCTCTGTCATTCCTGCTTTCCACAACAAACCTGTGGAACTCATCTTCCCATAGGAGGTAAGAATACAGGCAACTGCCCGACACCAAGCCCTTTCTATGCAGCAGGCACTGCAAAGGCATTAGCTCAATCTTCACAGCAATCTTAGAAGGTGAGAACCACCATACAGCATCTACCCATTTTACAGATGAGGAAGCTGAGGCCTGAGGAGCTGGGTAAACCTACCCAAGGTCACACAACCAGCAATTAGCAAGGTCAAGATTTAAAGCCTGGTGGTCTGGCAGCACGACTACACAGCTATCTTTCCAGGCACCAACTTAAATTAAGACAAAAACAATATGCATTGATCCAGAGTAGGTAAAACACTGGGTGGAGCAAACCATGGAACAGCAATAAAAAGCCCTGCGTTCTTCTCTAGGTTCTGCCATTAAGTCACACTATGTTACTTCCAGCAAGTCACTTTCCTCTCTTGGCCTCAGTTTTTTCATTTGTAATAACAAGAGGTTATGCTACACCTCTGAGGCCCTTTCTGGTTAAACACGGAGTCTCTGAGAGAGAA